TGTGTGTATATATATATATATATATATATATATATATATATATATATAAAATAAACAACGTTGGTACTACTTTTTGAAATACTGTTTTATGTTTAATTATGACACAATGCTGGTGATCCCACAAGAAATTCCTATTAACATATAAAAATTTAAGAAGCTCAGAAATTGTCTGAATAATTGTAAAAATATGAGTCCTTTACAACGTTTTAAAAAGTCCAGTTAGATCACAATGGGAGTTTGCCCTAATTAGTAGTTTTAAAATACCTGTGTGGCCTGATTTAGTAATTACTGTTCTTTATGTTTGTGAGAAACACGAGCCGTATTTGGTGTTTCCTATCAGCTATATCTAACATAACTCCTAGAAAACAGTAGACGGAATTGTGGGTAACAATGAGTCCAACAATATATTGATAGATTTTTAACTCAGACACTAACTATGAAATCAGGACATTGTGTGGTTCAGATAAACATGCAAAATTCAGGTGCTTTACCAGTTTCGATACAGGCTTATCCATCAAAGCTCTTAGGTAAGGTAATTGGACCAGAAATCTTGTGATAACTTTTTTGAGTTTTTTTCTTTTATACTTTCAAGTAGACCTTAGGTCAGAAGTGCCACCTGCATTGTCTCCCTCATACAATTTAAATTCTGCTGCCAATTTTAGTCTAGGAGGCACAGAAGCCTGAAAGCAGAAGACGGGAGATGAAAAGTTAACTGAACTTTTTATCTTCTGAAAGGTCTAGTAGTCAATGTTTGGCTGAAGGTTTGGGTTGCTTTTTATTTTCATTGAACCAGTTTACCTATATCTCTTAGCAATGCTCACCTTTAGCTCCATGCATAATAAAGGTTAAAATAAATATGGAGAAGGTTAGATAATAGGAAGAAGGCGGGCCGGGGGGAATGAAAGGATTAACAGAAGATAATAGCAAGGAGGGTATAATAAATACAACCCTACCTAGGTTTTCATCCACACTCTCCCTCCCTAAATTACTGTAGAATATTAAAAGGCTACAGCATTATTTGCATTTCATATCAAGATATTTTGCTAAAATAACTTCACTCTGTACACCAATTTAGGACATTTTTAGTTTTCATTTCAGGGTGGGGGGGAAAGGGGGCAGAAGGAAAACCACACTTTTATTTCTGAGAAGTTCAGAGTCCATTTGCCCTGAGCATTTCTGAGTAGCTAAACATACAAGCGCTCTTTCTGCAATAAACTTTGGCCTGGTCTACACTAGAAAATTTAGTCGATTTAACTACCTCACTCAGGCTACATCTTCACTACCCACCTGAATCGGGGTTAGAAATCGATCTCTCAGAGATCGAATTATTGCGTCTTGTCAGGACGCGACAATCGATCCCCTAATCGATGCTTGTACTCCACCAGCGCAGGTAGGAGTAAGCGCCGTCGGCGGGGGAGCCGCGGCGGTCGATTTGCTGCCGTCCTCACAGTGGGGTAAGTCGGCTCGGATACGTCGAATTCAGGTATGCTATTCACGTAACTGAATTTGCGTATCTTAAATCGACCCCCCCCCCCCGTAGTGAAGACGTAGCCTCAGAGGTGTGAAAAATCCACACCCCTGAGCAGCATAGTTAAACCGATCTAATCCCTCATATAGACAGCACTAGTTCAATGAAAGAATTCTCCTGTCGAATGAGCTATCACCTTTCAGGGAGGTGGATTACCTATACCTATGGGAGAATCTCTCCCATCAGTGTAGTTAGTGTCTACACTGAAGTGGTGCAGCTGTGCCGCTTTAGCATTTTAAGTGTAGAGATGCCCTTACTATGGGTGAAAAGGGGTAAGTCGGCTCGGATACGTCGAATTCAGGTATGCTATTCACGTAACTGAATTTGTGTATCTTAAATCGACCCCCCCCCCCCGTAGTGAAGACGTAGCCTCAGAATCTCTCCCATCAGTGTAGTTAGTGTCTACACTGAAGTGGTGCAGCTGTGCCGCTTTAGCATTTTAAGTGTAGAGATGCCCTTACTATGGGTGAAGAGGTCTGCCCATCTGTCCATGTGGAGTTCATTGCAGGATCAGGACCATAGAAAGAAGCACTTAACTCCTTCACTGCTGTATCGTGTACCAGGTACATGATACAAAATGCTCTTATGGTAATTGTTGAATGCTATGATGATAATGATGAAAATATCATAATAGTTGATGATGATGATAATACCATAAATAAGGCTACATCAAGTGGCAACTGTGTGCTAGGAACTGTACAAGACAAAAAATAAATAGAGACAGTGTCTATGTCAAGGATCTGATAATATGAAAAGTATTTTAAAATACTGTGTGGCCAAAGAACCCCTTAGAAATGCCAGTATTTCAATGAACTCTTTCAGTACAAAGGGGTTTCAGTACACAGTGGGTTAACAGTACCCAATTATCATGCAGGATTTTATCAGACCCTGTAAATACCTATGAACCTACATCTCACATTATTTTAAATATTGCATTTAAAAATGGTTTCAGAATAAAATGTTTCTTAAAGATAATGTCTACATCAAATTATGTAAACCATACACACAAGAATAATAAGTTCTAATTTTAATAGAAGTATGTTTGGGCCTGGGGGATGGGCCTGTTCACAATCAATTGCAGAACTTGGGCCGATGTGAAATTCAAATCTGTCAGCTGGTTATGTTTATGTTCTCTCTAGTGAAAGTCCAACAGTCAGTGTGAAGATAGCAGTATAAGAGATTGTATAATTTTAGAATAAATCTTTTGGCTTCTTTTCCCATTAAAAGAGTTGTTGTTGGTCATTTCTAGGGTGAATGATATACCAGATTCACCTCTCTCTAATACTTTTCTTTATATTTGTAATATTAAGATACTGTACAATACCTGTCATATTTTTGTTCCATGTAACACAGATGACAACACGCTGCATGGGCCAGTTTTCATTCAGGAACCAAACAATGTGATTTTTCCACTGGATTCTGAGGAAAAGAAAGTGAAGTTGAGCTGTGAAGTAAAGGGAAATCCTAAACCAACTATCAGGTTTGTTACATATTTTTCTATTCTTTAGCATGCCCTCTCCATGATTATGTCTCTCCAAGACACATGTATGCATGCATCCCACACAGAGAAGCTCTTTCAGAATTTGGGATGTGATGTATCTTTATTTGCTGGTATGTTTCGATTTTGAATTGATACAATAGTTTACCCTTGCTTAGCACTTTTAAAATCCATGAAACACACCAAACACAATAATTTAATTAATTTTAATCCTATTCATATATTGCTAAGGCTTCCTAAGAGTTGCTTTGACACATTAAATGAGACATTTGTGATTAAAATCTTTATTGCAATACATTGAATCTACCTAAAATCCCCTGAACTTTAATACGTTTAAAACTCTGGTCCTTACGCCCTCTTTTTTCCACAAAAATGGCACAGTAGCGCTGAGTGCAAATAAGCAGTGTGATGTCGAACTTTCTGTGCACAATCATGATAATTTCACCACAAATTATCTGCATGCAGAACTGAAAATCTGTCCCTTAAACACTATGTGCTTAACTATCTTAAAAATGTGTACAATTTCAATAATGCTACTTACAGTTCCTAGCTTTATAAAGTGCTTTGAGAACCTTGGATGAAAGAAGCTATATATACGAAAATATGCCATTATAGTGGTGCTGTTATTATTACATAGAATTAATCTGGTTGTTTTAACCAATTTAACATGGTGTCTCCCTTCTTATTTCCCCCCCCCTCCCCCCATTTTGCTCTCTAGTGTAAATACCACTTTGAAACCGATTAAAATCATAAGACCCCAATCCTGTTGCTGTCTTCTGGCAATACTTAGCATTTAATGCAGTAGAATATGTTGATTCACTCATGCAAATATATTCAAATTCCTTCCCCATAGGTTCCAATACAGGGAACTGCTCTGAGGATCTAATCCTTTATATGTTCCATCATGGGCTGCCAGAGATGGCAGTTGTAATTGGGGGAATGTTTTGTTAGAAAATCTTGATGCCCCAGTTTGTTAAAACATCTGCTGTGAGTGAGTTTTCTTAAATTTAAAAGCAAACAAACAACTAAGGCAGAAAAGGAAAAGAAGCCACTGTGGAATTGAGTGGTTCAAAACTTCTGTTTCTGGGGCTTCCCCTTGCAAAATGATTAATTTCAAAGACTAACAACATCAGTAACAACAGCCGAAACAATAAGAACATTAATCAAATCAGTGACTGAAATATATGTTAAGGATGTTGCTCTGTAAGTGAAATATTAGAACGTTTCGATGCTGTGCAGGAAACATGCATTTTCAAGCTGGGTTTAAAAATAAGAAATCAAATGGGTTTGAATGTTTTCTGTATTTACTGCATGTTGCTTTAGAAATGTACAGAAATATTGGTTAATGTTAGCAGAATTAAACTCCTGGAATTTTTATACTATAGGTGGAAGTTAAATGGAACCAGTGTTGACGTCGGTATGGATTACCGCTACAGTGTAGTGGGAGGCAGTTTGTTGATCAATAACCCCAATAAAACCCAAGATATTGGAATGTACCAGTGCATAGCAACAAACTCATTTGGAACCATTGTTAGCAGAGAGGCAAAACTTCAGTTTGCTTGTAAGTAGCAATTATAACCCTTAGCAAATACTGAATTCTTGCGATATAATGCTGGAAAAATGGTAAGATGATGGCTGTCTTTTTTTTTTAAACCTCATCTAATTTGTTATTCATTATTCTTTGCCGAGTTGCTTGTTTTGTTTAGAAATTATCTTGACTAAATCTGAGTGAGGATTGGAAATGTTCTATTTTGTGACTATTTAACTAAATGGGCGTACAGCACATAATGTGTATATTTGCCTATCTATGAGAGACAGTGGAAGTGCGAGTACATGGCTATAGGAAACATACTACTAACACTTTTTACAAGTGAATAATAGAAATGCTCAAATGTGATTTTTCCCTCCAATGGAAAACAAAGATTTTAAAGCTTCAAAAGTGCCCAAAGGGACATGCCCTTCAGAAGCAGCAGTTCCATAATGGCAATTTTTATCACACCTGTGATACAAGATCCAGTGGGAGGTACATCTCTGACAGAGATTTTAAGTGCTGATGTAACCCACACACCTCCTGGGTGTGGTGTTCTGTCCCACCTGTAATACCGACAGACCCTGGACCTCTGGAGCTAAATGAAGGAGCCTCTACAGCATGAGCTAAAAGCCACATGGCCCTTCGCTAAGGCTGTAGAGCAGACCCATTAATCTCTAAGTGGCCTCAGTGCCACTACATAGGATAGAACACCACACCAAGGAGGTGTGTGGGTTATACTGACACTGTGTGTAGGTGTATATATACACAATATTGAAATGAATGTAAAGATGGTGTACAATGCTAAGTTCTTTATATGTGCTGTTTATGTATCATGTAGATTGATTTATTTGATCATTTTAGAAACACCAAAGTTTTTTTTTTTTAAAGGCTGCTTTATAATATTTATTTAAAGCCTATTCAGCACTTTTGACACACCTTCATGAATGAGGAGAGCTAAACAGGTTTTTATGGGCTTGAACCTGCATCGTTTGAAGCCAGTAAGAATTCTGCATTTGACTTCATAGAGTGCAGGATGAGGGTCCTTTAAAAGGAAGACCCTGGATTATAAAGAGCCATGGCCAGCCCCCTTGGCTAGCTGGCATAATAGCACTGAGGGCAAGTCCCTCCTCCTTCATACCTGTAAGCTCTGAAGGTATGTCTACACAGCAACTAGACACCCGCAGCTGGCCCATGCCAGCCAACTTGAGCTTGAGGGGCTGTTTCGTTGCTGTGAAGGCTTCCTGGCTTGGGCTGAGGCCCAGGCTCTAGGACCCTGCGAAGTGGAAGGCTACCAGAGCTCGCGCTCCAGCCCGAAAGTCTACCCGGCAATGAAACAGCCCTGCAGCCCAAGCCTTGCGAGTCCAAGTCAGCTGTCATAGGCCAGCAGTGGGGCCTTGCTACTTTCTGTGTCTACTTGCTGTGTAGACGTACCTTGAGAAGCCTCGTGCTGTGAAAGGTGCAAGCCATACCTTAACAATAATTTTCTTCATGTGTTTTTTTTTTTGTCAGATTTTAGTATTTCTTAAGCATAATTTTCATGTTAAGGGAAAGCTAGACTTTTAATATAATGCAATATGTTTAATGGGCTGGCTAATATCTACAATTAATATGATCCTATTACGCAAGTAAGAGGGGTAAGATGCCATAAAAGCTTTTATGTCAGATGCGCTGTACTCAAAAAGGTGATTTGTAATAAGAAATAGAAGTGTGGGAAGCTAAAGTCTTCCCTCTCCCAGAGTAGTTCACAACATATTATCAAAACAGCAAGGAGTCTGGTGGCACCTTAAAGACTAACAGATTTATTTGAGCATAAGCTTTTGTGGGTAAAAACCTCACTTCTTCGGATGCGAGGTTTTTACCC